TAAAGCCTGTTTGTTAATAATGTCATTGTACGTCCCTAGTTCTGGTATTGAGAGTGATGGTAGATAGTCAATCCCTAATGACCATTGTTTTATAAACTTATATTGTACCCCCCTTCAGCTGTCGTTTCTCAGCTGAAATCTTGGGGTATATAGTTTTGCCTTATACAGAAGTGTCTCCATGCCCCTAATCATTCTTGTTGCCTTTCTCTGTATCTTTCCTAGTTCAACTATATCCTTCTGGAGATGGGAGGACCAGCACTGCATTCAGTATTCCAGGTGTGGATGTATCATTGATTTATGCAGTGATATAATGACACTGTTTTCAATGCTCTTCTTAATTCCTAGCATCCTATTTGCCTTTGACTACTGGTGAGTATGGGGCCAGAGTTTCCAGAGAAGTATCTACAGTAACTCCAAGATCTCTTGCCTGAGTAGTAACAGCTAATGCAGAGCTCTTCATTGCCTATGTGCATCTCCAACTTACTCCTTCCCACATGCATCACGTTACATTTATCAAAATTGGACATCATCAACTATTTTGTTGCCCTTCTTACTCAGTTTTTAACGAACCTTCTGCAATTCTTCCCAGTAAGCTTTGTTTCTTACCACCCTAACTAATTTGGTGTCATCTGCAAACTTGGCCACTTCAGTATTAACCTTCATTTACAAATCACTTATCAATATGTTAAACACTATAGGCCCTTGTACAGAGCAGGGTTTGCCTGTAATACCTTGACAGCCTAACTTCCCTAGGAGCCTTTGGTCCAGGACTTCATGAAAAGCTTTTCTTGAAAGTATAGATACACTACATCAGATGGATCACTTTGGTCCATATACTTGTTGACACTCTCCAAGAACTTTAGTAGATTTCTGGGGTGTGACCTCCCTTTACAACAGCCAAGTTGACTTTTTCCAACAAGTCCTGCCCATCCATGTAATTCATAATCCCATTTTTTTTTTTTTTTTACAATGCCTTCTACCATTTTGCAAGGAACAGTTAGGCTCATTGGTCTGTAGTTCCCTAGATACCTGCTGGAGCCCTTTTTAAAAAGTAATGTTTATATAGACAACACTTCAATCCTCCAGTACAGAGCCTGTTTTTAACAATAGGTTACATGCTAAAGTCAATAGATTCACAATTTTGAGTGCAAGTTCCTTCAGGACTTTTGGGTGAGTACCATCCAGTCTTGGTTATTTAGCACGGTTTCTAGCATCAATTTCCTCTACAACTTCTTCTTTTGACACCTCAGCTTGGGTCATTTCAGTGTACCAGATGAGATTCTGATGTGGCTTTAGATAAACTAAAAATGGAAGCATCTACTGGATTAAACCTAAAAGTGAGTAATGCTGTGATTACTGTATTTCCTGTGTTTTTTAGTTTGGGCCAGATTCTGCCATTCCTGACTCATTTAATTGTACTTCAGTGAGAATAGGAATAATTCCTAAGGAACCACTCAGCGTGACTAAATATGGCAGAATCTGGCTCTTTGACATTACATTTTATTATAATTATGATTGCTTTTGCTGTTATTTCACTTCTGAATTAACCTTCTAGGAATGGAGAAACATGATCAAATGAGGTCTTCAGCATTTGTGTATTAATAGCTTTTATCTTCTGTTCTACTATTTGTACATGATTCAAGCCAGAATTTGGAAGTTAAGTAAAACTGAGAAATGGTGCTCGCTTCTTAAACACATTTTTTATGTGGCTCCTAGAAAATAACATTCATACAATTCCCTATCATTTAGAAAAGAAATAGGTGCTTTAGCTTTCTACACCCAGTCCACCCACAGTGTGTTTCAAAAAGTTGGCTGTGCAGAGCAGCCTCCTTCCACAGCTATGATGGTGAATAGCATGTCTGCGCCTGTCTTGAAAAGTGGCCTTTAACGTTTGAACTTGCAGCAAATCAGCCGGGTGTTTTCTAGTGTTGACATGTGGCTGCCAGACTGTTAAGCAATGTCTATAATTATTCTAAAATCTGATACATGTTATAAAAATGCATAAGCATTGAATTCAAACCATATTTTAATAATTTGGCCACCTGTACAATATCCCAATATTCTTAAAATAGAGAACTTGAGATCCTCTGCATATTTATTTGTAGCAGATGTTAAATCTTTGGTGTGTTCTACACATTTACACGCTTCGAGACTGATATTAAACATGAACCTTACAAAAATAACCCAAAGCGTATTTATTTCAAAGAATTAGAATGTTTTATACCAGGAAATGGATACAGGAAGCTGCATCTATTGTTGTGGTTTGTTTTAAAGGTGTGTTCAAAATAATATGAAAAAGTCTGGTCATTATTGCAGTTGTACAAAACTTCCAGTATTTAAAAAGACTTTTATCTTTTATTTTGCTTCAGCAGCTTTCTCAGCTATTTGTTCTAGACTAGATATTTTTAATATGCTGTTCAGGTCTGTGACCTTAGTGAAACAAGATTGATGCTCTACATCAGGGGTATCAAGCCTGATGCTGTGGAGAGAGCCAAATTACCATTTCAATCAAAATCTGAGAGCTGGAAATGAAAAGTCTGCTGGCAAGAAGCAAATTTTGTTGTCTTGTCTGATTGCAGAACATTTCTCTTTTGCTAAGTTGTGTACATAAAGACAAAGCTATTGCTAAATAGAAAATGAACTTATGTAATTTTTCTCAATGTAGTCACCTCCAGGCATTCAAAATGTGACTGCTGGGGAAAAAACCCAAGGATATATTTTTTTCAAATATTTTGGATTCTTGTTCTTTGTTACCGAACAGTTCTGGTACATGCTTGGACCACTATTTCAAGTTTTCCCCCAGTAGTTGTGATGGTACAGACCCATGATGGTTTTTGTTTTGTTTTGTTTTTTTAAATAAAGGAGAGATTGTGACAATCGCATGACTCCGGGAGCTGTCTCTTTTAAGAAAATCACAAACTATTATAAGACTTGCTGTAAAATCAAATGACATGGAAGCTTCATATGTAAGGATTTTTCTCTTGCTTTCCTCCATTTTCTCCCTCTCCATCTTTTAAGAAGTATTGCCTCCTGTTCTTATGTAATTCCCTTGTTTTCCAGCTGTCTTCAGGAAAAAAATCACACCACCTACCATGTCTTTTCTTCCCCTGTCCTCTGAATGTTTTTGGCTCCCTCTCCCTTCCCCTATCATACTTCTCTCTCCCACCCCTACGCACTTTAGAGAGAGCAGAGGCTTCCTCATTCATCTGGGGCCGTTTCTGAAATTTGTACCAGGCTCAGGGCCTGTACAAAAGAAGCTGCTGATACCATGGTGTTCAGTTTGTACTACTAGTAGTGAAAGCAAAGGCCCTGTTACCAATAAGAGAAGAAAGTTCAGCAGTGATAGAAGTGGGGAATAGAGCAGGGTAGGGGCTCAGATGACTCTTTTTCTCTGAACCCCAACTCCAGAGTGTTCTTGTGACAATGGCTGCTCAGACAGACATTGCTTGGCAGTGTTCGGTTGGAAATGAGGTGTGTATACCCAGCCTGGCTTCTTTTCATAGTTTCATAGTAGGGTCAGAAGGGACCTGAGCAGATCATCAAGTTCGACTCCCTGCCATGGCAGGAAAGAGTACTGGGGCCAAACGACCCCAGCAAGGTGGTTGTCTAGAATCATAGAGTCACTGAGTCGGAAGGGACCTAGACAGATCATCAAATCCGACCCCCTGCCATGGGCAGGAATGAGCACTGGAGGTGGGAGGGGTCATAAGACCCCAGCCAGGTGCCTATCCAGTCTCCTCTTGAAGA